CCTGACAACCTCTGCCAGTAGCAGCCTTCTCTGAAATTCACGTCACGAGACGTTACGAGGCACAAGGTCAGATCAGGTCACCCGCCAGATGGTTTAAGATCGGCCCCTCTGCCGCGACGGCGCATGCCGAAGGTTGCACAAATGTCAAAGCCCCCTCGTATGACGGCCGTTGCACAACAATCCAATTGGCCTACTTGGGGCGTGCATGAGGCTCATTCTCGGCTTTTATATTAAGCGTGATGGGTGTCCCCAGATGGCTGGGGCGTAACTATGCGGTCGGAGGCGCCATGTTCGCGGTGCTGCGCTCTGGCGGCTCTGGCGGGAGCGCTGCCGACGCTGCCAACCGTACGTCGCGGCTTTTTAATTAGCGCCCCTACCACGCGTACTCCGGCAGCCAATCAGGTGGCGGGAGGCGTTGTGGGCCCGTTGTTTTCGCGCCAAAAAGACGGCCAACTGGGTACGTTCCAAACGAGGCACGCGCCAAGTGGCTCGCGTCCTGACCGCAAAAGCGCCGTCGTCGTCTGCTGCAGCGCTATGCAGCTCCATCCGCCCAGCCCGTCCCTTTCTCTTTCCCGTCTGCCGCGGTCGCAGCGACGTCGATTAATCGAAGACCAGCCGTTCACGGAGTATGAATGCAAAGTTGGGTTAGGTTGGCATTCTGCTGGCGAAAAGATGTCTGCGAATCGTTGGAAGCCGATTAAAAAATGAACCTCAAGTGAAACGAACTGGTTGGATTTTGGGGGTGAAACAAGACAAATTTTACAAGTTGTGCATGAGTCATGCTTGATTAGTTTTCAAACATAATCAAATAACCAAACAGTGATTCGATTTGACCCAGACGCTAACGAAGCTTCCTCGTGTCCGGAGCGGCGGAGCGGCGGAGGGTTGCAAGCGGACCTCGCCTTCTCTTCCAAGAAGGCGGCCGCTTAATTTTTCATAGCGACTGTCGTCAAACGGCCCCCGCCTGTGACGCTGCAGCTTCTTGACGACGACCTCTCTAGCGGGCCCCGGTGGCCCCGGAGGCCCCGGAGGCGCGGGTGGCCCGGGTTCAACGCCACCCCGCCCCGCGCCTCTTTTTTGCGGGTGACTGGGCGTGACTTGCGTCCGCGCGGAGGAGTCCTGCCGAGTCCTGCCAAAACGCGTCACACTTTTCCGTCGTGCATTGCTTAATTCTTTGTTAACGGAAGCTCGTTCCGTGAAGGCGGCGCCGGTAAGGGGAACCGGCGGGCCGCGGGTCTGTCCGGCCGGCCCGGCGCGGCTGGCAGCCTCTGGCAGCCTCTGGTGTGGTCAATGGTGAATATATCATCGGGCAAAGGCGAGGCAGAGCGAAGCGCCAACCGCGTCGCCCTGCAGCACACCGAGAGTCTCGCTCTGTCTCCCTCGCACCTGTACGTGACGCCCCGTGAGTGCGAGAGAGACAGAGCGACGAGGAGTCCCCGCAGGCCGTGGCGTCGCCAGGGACGCCAGCGCGCGCAGCGCCCTCTGCTGGCCAGTTCCCACAGCGCGGTGGCCGCACAGCGGGCAGGACTCCGGTGCCACCCTGGCCGCGAAAACGCTCATACACTGTTGTTCAGGCAATGTGACGTCATAGGATGTGAATCGTATCAAGTTCGAGTTAGGGAACAATGACGCCAAAATTTTAACAAATAATGGTAGCTTAGTGCCACCAGTGCGTTATTGGGCGTCTTGGAATTAATTAAAATAAACAATCAAACACTGCAATTTGGCAGCCAAGTGAGTGAGGACGATCTTGTTCACTCGATGAAACGTTTCTCAAGCAGAACAGCAACTACCCTTTTTTTTGTAAATATCGAGGGGCGAGATCCTCCTTTTTTTTCCGTCCGCCGCTCACTGCGTTTCAATGAGAGCGAAATGTTGTTGTTTGCATTGTTGCCGGGCTTGGCGACTGCGAGGAACACGTTCGATTCGGCCCGAGATTATGAATGAAACAAACATCGATGAATCGAAGAATCGATGAATGGGTGTGAGGCGGGCGACGCTCGGGGCGAGGCTCGGGGCGAGGCTCGGGGCGACGCGCGGGGCCGTGGAATACATTGGTCCGAGCACCTTGCTTCGCATGCTCGGCCTGCCTTTGTGTGGTTAGGCCCCGGCCGGTCTCCTCTCAGTGTCAAGGCCGTCCCAAGAGGGAGAAAGGATTAGGTCATAAACGATGCGGTGTTTTGCGCGGGTCAGGCGGTTCGCCGTCAGTCTGCACGTCGTCTGTCTGTCTGTCTGTCTGTCTGTCTGTCTGTCTGTCCGTCTGTCTGTCTGCCTGTCTGCCTGTCTGTCTGTCCGTCTGCCTGTCTGTCTGTCTGCGCGGGAAGCCGCCCCGGTGACGTGAGACGACCACCGCAGAGGCGAGGCAGCTTGTCACCCATTAGCGTATCGGGTGACTACCTGGGGCGTTTAGACTTGCAGGACGAAAGGGTGTTGGGGCCGTGGGAGATTCATTCATTCATTCATCCATTCATTCATTCATTCATTCATTCATTCATTCATTCATTCATTCATTCATTCATTCATTCATTCATTCATTGTCAAAATAAGTGGCTAATTTCCCCCCAAAACTCATTGGGTTCTTCCCATGACCAGGTAATTTATTCCCAATTTTTGTCATTCATTCATTCATTCATTCATTCATTCATTCATTCATTCATTCATTCATTCATTCATTCATTCATTCATTTATTCTCTCATCTGCCTATAGTTCCGTGTCAGGGTCTTGTCCATCATTCGCCGTCGTGGCGGTCATCTAGTGCGAGCCGTCGTGAGCCTCCTCAGCGGTACGTCGGGGACGTCCGTCCGACGGCGACGCCGCGGTCGCGGGCACGGCGTGCTCGCTGGTCCGCGTCCGCGCGGCGACTGCTAGAGCTTTGGCTTGGCTGGCCGGCGGCCGGCAGGAACGGTGGCGCGGGCCGCCCCGCCTCGCCGCGTCGGGTTGGACTGCCCTGGCGGTGCCCCGGCGTGGCCGCGGCGCGGGCCGAGCAGGGCCTGCACTGGGAGTGGGGGCCGGGGCAGGCCGAGGCACGCCGCGGCGCGACTTGGGCCCACGGCACTGGCTGCGGCCACGGAGTGCCGCGGCGTGGCACCGCGCTGCCCCCCCCAGGGGGAGGGGGGAGGGGCCTCGCTCGCCACTCCCACTGTAGCAGACGACGCCACCGTCTTTTGGCCGTCAGGGCCGCCGATGGAACCAGGCGGGCGAGCCCTCCGAAACATAAACAACTCTTTTCTGATTACTCACGCTGGTTGTCCTGGTTTACTCGGTAACCCCCCTGGGAATCGCCCATGTCTTTTCCACAGGCTACCGGGGAAAACCAGAAACCATTTCCGCCGTGGCTGTGAGGCGCGGATGCAGAATTTGCCTCTCGACCGGGCGCCCTGCAGACTGATTCCAAGAGTCGTTTTCGTCGCGCTATCCCTCTCGCGCTCAGAGGGCGATCCCTTTCTAGGCGCCGGAGGGACAGAGCGACGAAAACGACTCTCGGTATCGGTCTGCCGCTCCGCCACGCGTGGCGGGGACGCCCCTATGGGGCTTCGGCTGCTTCGGCTCGGGCGGGCTTGACCGCCGCTTCGGCGCTGCGGCTTGGCTTCGCACGCTCCGCACTGGGACACTCGACACGACCTGTTGCCAGCCGAGCGAACAGTCTCTCTCTTCCTCTCTCGCACTCACGGGGCTGTCCGTGAGGGTGCGAGAGAGACAGACCGCTCGGCAGGCGCACCAAGGCGCGTCAAGGCGCAGCCGTGCGATGCGCCGCGACCAGCGCCGACTGCCCGACAAACAGAACCGAACCGGAGGGTACCGAACCGTGTATTCTCAGCACCATGACAGCCACTGGAGCCGCGGGGAAAGGGGAGGGGGGAGCGATACTTCCGATGTATCTCAGCTGACCGGCGCACGCTGCAGCGCCCCAGCCAAGCTTGTCGGGTTGCGCGGCATCCAGTCACAGCCGATCGCGGACAGCAGGACACTGAAACCCGCGCTGTGGAGCGACACTGTGGCCGCGGACGCCCGGTGGCCGCGTGGTCAAGAGTGTCGCGCCTCAATGGCAGACCGATGGCGGGAGGCTCGGGTTCAAATCCTCTCGAGTGTCGATTTTTTTTCGGTGCGGTTTCCCGTCACACAGTGGGTCAGAAGACCGGTAAGGCGGTAAAAAGCCCGGACGGGTTGCTAAATGGGACTCAACCGAACGTGTGACCCCACCAATGGATCGCTCTCCGAACGAGGAATCCATTGGTGGGGTCACACTTTCGGTTCGGGACCTGGTTAGCGTCTCTGGGGCACCAAACGCGTCCAGAGTTTGGGCCGCCGGCGCCGGTCTTCTGGCCCACTGTGCGCCGCACTGGTGTCCGGACTCCGGACGGCCCCGGCCCAGCTCGGCGACGAGGGCCCTGGACGGGGTCGCCCTAGACGCGCAAGGCCAGGGCGGCCGTCGAAAGCGTACGAAATGCGCGCCGGAGGTCCTGCACCCCGTGCTCTTGAACAGGTGCCGCCCCCCCTCCCCTCCGCGCGCCGCGGATTCGCTCCACTCTAACCTGAAAACTGGACGAGCGCGGCGGCGGCCTGGCCGCCCTGGACGGCGCTCCGTCGGCGGCCTGCCTTGCCTGCCTCTGCCTGGCCGGCGCGGCGGGGGGCAGGAGTGGGGGGCGTGTGGCGTCGCGCCGCGCCTCGCCGCGCCTCGCCGCTCCGGTCGGCGTCATTCTGCCGTGCACAGTCCACAAGGCAGGAGTAGAGCAGGGCGTCGCACGTAGGCCCTGGAGTACGTCCCGCTCCATCGCAGCAGCTCGGCCACCACGCCCGACCAAGCGGGAACGCCCCGCCCCGCCCCCGCCCCGCCCTGCCCACCGTCCGGAACTAGTTCGATCTCGCGCGACCCGCACCGCGAGGCACCCCCGTCGTCGCGGACCTGCAGCCGGCGGCGACCGCCACCGCCGCGACCGCGTCCTCCGCCTCCTCGAGGGCCCCGTCGACGGCCCCGACGGCGTCGTCCTGGCGGCGGCGCTCCCCGACGGCCCCGCGTGCAAGTCTCCATTGTGGATGTGCAGTGCTGTGTGTGTGTGAAGTGCAGTGTCTAGTGCAAAGTGCAGTGTTGTGTCAAAGTGTTGCTCGTTTTGGATCGCTTCGTCGTCCGCCGAGGCGACGGTCTGCCGTGACCTGGAGGACGTCATCACCCACCCCTCGTCAGGTGAGGAGACCTGGACGAGTCCGCCACACCGACTCCACGATGCGTCACCGGTTGAGGGGCACCTCACTTCATCCAATCGGGCTCCAGTCTCTGCCCAGGCCCGCCTCTGACAAAGCCGGCAGTAACACTGCAGCTTTTTCGTCACAGTTAACATGACGATTTCATTGTGATCAAAGTGGAAATTCAGTCTTGTCGTCAGTCAGCGCACACCTAGTTTCGAAGTGAGGTACCCCTCGTCAGCGGTGCTCTTATCTTTAGAATCTATGGATTCAACTCGTTTTGTCACCCCATACACACTACTGTACCTGTTGGTCTATCAGTTTTTACGCGACATGGCTCCGTAAAATATTGAAAACGTTTGTGAAACATTTGTGATACAAGTCCCCGAGCGCTGTTCGGCTCAAAGTGGTCGTCGCAGTTTGCGAACAAAGAAAACTCCCTGGGTTGATCACGTTTGAACTGAAATTGATAGAAACCTGACGCAGGTATTAGCACACTTCCGTACTTTCGGTGCCGATTTTGATCCTGTCGGTTTCTGCGCTTGCCGCAAATTTTCACTTTCCGGATGTTCAATCTGTTTGGGATCTGAAATACGCTTCGCGCGGAATTCGCTTTTCTAGGGCAATAGGTGCACATTCCACGCCGTGCATTCCTCTCCTGTCCATCGCGAAAAAAAAAATCCACCGTGGCGTCGGACTTTGACGCAAGTCTGGACAAACTTTCCGTTTTATAATTCGAGGCATACGTAGTACGTAGATTTAACCGATGTCGTAGATAAACGTGGGATCGCCAAATTTAAATAATTGGGAACAAAACAATTTTTTTTTTCGCCTGGAGGCTGAAAGTAGAGTCGAGTCTAGTTTGTATTCGTGTTACTCTCAAATTCCTGGACAGGTGTCGAGATTCGTCTGATAGTCCGCGATGCAAATTTGACGACGTACCGCGCGTGCGCCAAGCCGGCCAAGTGCAGTTTGACCCCTCGTTCCTTTTTCCCCGGGAACTAACTCGTTCATTTCGTGCCGCGCTTTGATCGCCCTGACGCTCTTCTTGTGCATGAGGCTCGGCCTCCTCGGAGTGTGCGGTACAGTTCTGCCCCCGGCCCACACGCCGCCGATGGCATCGCCCTGATCTGTGGCGCGGGCGGCGCGGGCGGCGCGGTCGCGGGTTCGAAACCCCGTACCGCGCGCCTTTCCCGCGCCGAGATACGGCCCTGTGTCGGCCGGCCGCCCTGGCCCCGCCGGCCCGACCCTGTCGGCGGGAGATACAGTCAACACGAAGCGGGCCGCCGGACTCGCACAGCCCTTTAATCATGATTTTATATTCCCACCTCCCTGATGGACCGCGCGCCGCGCTCTCCCACTTTCACACATTGCTTTTCGCGCCGATCGATGGACTAGATTCGGATTGCTGTTGACCGAGGCGCCGTTGTTTGGTCGGGGAGCAATATGCAACGCCTTCCTGATTGCGCGCTGAGTGCTCTGTGATGTATCACTCTGCGTGGTATGACGGGGTCGAACACTTTGACAAATAACCCATCGAAGATATTTTTTTAGCTGTGTACTTTTATTTCCGGGTCAAACGTCCATTTTTTTCGGACGACTTGTTGCGCCCAGCAAATGGTTGCGTGGTGTGCGTGCGGCGCCGAAGCGCGGGAGACGAGTCTAGTTCACACGCGGGGCGAGCCAGCGGCAAAGAGTGAGAGTCCGTGACTGGGACACTGCCGCGCGGTCAGTGCGACACTCCGCCACTCGTTTCCACTCGTGCTGGCCAGGCCTTTGGAGCGACCGATTGCCCCGCCTGCCCGCCGCTATCCCAGTCCTAATGGCTCGCGATTCAAATACAAGCTCGCGCGGATCACACGAGATCCCCCTCCCCACAGCGCGCACGCCGCGCCGTTTGCATGCGCGCTGGTGAGGTTAGGTCGGCCGGGGTTGTTTTGCAGGATTGCTTGTTGCATCGCGTGAACAAGGCTCACCCTGTCTCCCCACGCGATGCGCTTGTGCCCGCGCCTGCGTCTGTGTGTGTGTGTTTGTGTGTGGAGAGGTGTGAGTGATGGCAAGGCTGTGAAAACCCTCTTTCTCTCTCACGCGCGCGACTGTACGCGACGGCACAATTTTTCCAAGGCGAAAAGCGCTGGCTGCAAGGCGGTGGCTTTTGGCGGTGTCTGCACTGGCGGGAGACTGGCCGTGCGCCACCTGTTGGTTCATAACCGCGTTCCGTTGTTCGAGGAACACTCATCCCGACACGTGCCGGCCGGCCCGGCCCTTTCATCGGAACCTCTGTTTTTTTTATTCCCTGTCGTCGAAAATAGGATTTGTTTGTTATCGAACTCATCAACAATATAGGCTACCTCAACTTTTTCGATCGAGTTTTTTTTTCTATTGCCTTGTGCGTTTCAACCGCGCGGGAGTATGCGTAGCAGCGGATTCAAAGTTGACGACACGACAAGTTTAAAATGGGCGAGCGGAACGTATTTCTGGTCGGTGGATTTATCTTTGACTGGAGAAAGGCTAAATGCCAAAACCGTGCGCCTGCTCCTCCACACGCTATCCTAATTGAACCCCTCCTCGGAGCATCGCTGCCTCGCTGTGTTTGCAAAGCGCCACTCGCCAGAAACCCATAATCCCGCGCCAACGCGCCTAAAAACTGCTGCTCAAGTACCGAAAAATAAATCCAGCCGCCCTTTTTTTTCACCAATCCCTGGGCTTCTGCTGGCACTCGACGACCTGCAGACTGATCCCGGGAGTCGTTTTCGTCGCTCTGTCTCTCTCGCACTCGCGAAGGTGTGACAGAGACACAGCGACGAAAACACGACTCTCGGAGTCAGTCTGCACAGCTCCGAGATAACACCGAATTAATAACAGCACGTCAATTAGCGTGGCGGCACGCGTGCCGAGGATTTCTGGCGGGCTCTCCGCTACACGCGCAGGCTTCACAGTGCCCCGCGTTGCTCCGCGCTGCTTCTCTAGATAGCGGCAGTATGCGGCGATACGAGGCGAGCGTCGTCTGCTGCGCCAGAAGTGCTGCGAGCGAATTGCGGTCTGCCAAATGCGCCAAATGCACGGGGAGGAGTTAAAAATCTTAGTTGTTAAAAACTTACCTAAGTTATCAAAGAAAGGTTGAAAGTGGAAAGACATTTTTGCAACAAGCGTCACTTCGGGTGCGGGTGGGCGGGTGCTTTTCAATTTCGCTCTACCGTGGATGGCTTTACTACCTCTGAAACGTTCCGTTTTTTTTTTTTTTTTTTTTAAATTTGCTATTTTGCTCGTAATTAAGGCACGGCTTTTTAAAAACGGCCCGGTGCGGCCGGAGGCGAGCGCCTGCAGCAGCCGGGGTAGGCCACCACCCCGGACACGCGAGCGCGGCGGGCCGGCCCGCCCCGCAGGCTGCGTTCCCGAGCGACTTTCTAACCAGAGCGGCAGCCTTTTTTCCTGTTTCCTTTTTTCCCCGCTGTTTTCGGTGCGATTGCTTATGTTTTTGTCACCGACGAATGAAGCGGCGGCAGCGCCTCGACGACGGGCTGCCAACCCGACAGACGTGAATAATTTCATTTCAACGAGCCGCGTTTTCTGCATCCTCTGCCGTAACGTGGGTGGCAGCCCTGCTGGCCGTGCCTGCGGCGCGGCGGCCCGCCTGGCGGCCTGGCCCAGGCCTGGCCTTGCCGGCGCGGCCTGCAGGGCTGCCAACGCGACAACAAAAACACGGCGGCGGCTACACGGACAAATTAGAGCCAAACTGTAGCGGCGGTGTGGTGGCGGCAGTGATTGTGGCCGGCCTGGCTGGGCCTGGCTGCCCGGCCGACGCGCCGGCGGTCCTGTCGCCTTGCCGCGGCCGCCGTGGCCGCCGACGCCAGATTTCTGTTGGCCGGCTGTACTTTGTCGTCGCCGAACTTTCCCACCGGCTCAATCCTGGACTCCATTCTGCTCCGCCCGGGCGACCGGAGGAGCTTTTGACCAAACGGCGCCGCCGTTGCAAGTGTGGCGCGCTGCTGGAGGCTTGGTAGTGAGGACGGCTCTCACTCTGGCACACGCGCTGCAACAAAACGGTTTCTGGGTTTCACAGGAATTCCCTGGAAATCGCCTGTGTCTTTACTCTAGGCTACCTGGGAATTCCAGGGACCATTTTTGCCGCGTGCACACTCTTTCTGTTTCCGTATCGGAAATCGACTTTCAGACCCGCACGTCGCGTTCGAAATGTAGAGCCGTGTCTTGGACGGCAGTGTTTTTGGACATTTTGATACACGAGAGCAAACTGTCTCGCCTTTTAAGGGAAGGGGGCGGGTATTTCGCAACTCTCGGGCCGCCGCCGGTTCGACTGTTTTCTCTCCGAACCGACCGAACGTTTGCCCCAAGTCGAATAGAGCGGTGGTCATTTTAGGGAAAGGGGACGGCGCCGTGAAACTCTAACGACTCTCTCTCTCTCTCTCTCTCTCTCTCTCTCTCTCTCTCTCTCTCTCTCTCTCTCTCTCTCTCTCTCTCTCTCTCTCTCTCTCTCTCTCTCTCTCCACTTTTCGAACCGCGCGCCGTTCGAGCACAGCTGTTCGCGCTGAACTTAAATAACCCTCCAATTGGAGTGCGTGCGATTTTCGATTTATACTGCATACTTCGATAATTGAACACCCAAGCCTTCTGCTGCATACTGAAAACGTCCGTCGGTGATTCCTACGTCACCGACGCAAAAATCCAGAATCTTGGACTGGGCGGCAGGAAGCTGCCAAGGTTGCCGGCGCCTTGCCGCCGTGCCTCGCGGCCGGAGTACTGTCTTCGGGAGTCGAAAGGGGTGGGAGGGGGAGGGGGGGGGCGACCACGCGCAGCGTTATCGCCGCAGAGGACAAGCACCCGGCAGCAGTGCTAGCAGTGCGCCAGCAGTGTCGAGGCATTTCCACCGGACTGCAGACTGATTCCGAGAGTCGTTTTCATCGCTTCGGCCCTCCGCTCGCACCTGCACGGAACGCCCCATGGGTGCGAGAGAGACAGAGCGGCGAAAACGAATCTCTGGCA